TGGGGGTGCATTTTTGTTTTAAACAGATAAAATGTGTGTTTGGTGGGTGGGGTTCTGGGTCAGTGACAGAAAGGGATTTTTAACTTCAAACAGAATTGATGGTAATTAGGGACATCTCACCCAACCCGGGACTTAAATTTCACACTAGAAAATAAGCTCCAGTCTTAGTAAGTGGGAAACACATTGTGCCTTTCTCTAGGTGTGATGTGTTATACCAAAATACTAGTAGTGTGTGGAGCGTGGTTAGGGACTAAATACGGCCTATGGTTTGTGAAGTATGTATTCTTCCTCACTCACCAACGTTTGTTCCCATTAACACTTGGATTAGAAATGAACTTACCAATCAAAGCAAAACAGGACAATCAATTTGAGATAACAGAAATAGAGATTGTTAAATAAAACCATTGCCATTTTACATTGACTCAGTACTTTGGTTTGTCCCAACTGAACAAAGCAAGAGTTTGTATTGTTTTTCCTATTATTGTTTTTGTGTATGTTCCTTGAAACCAGTGATTTTCAAACTTTAGAGTGTTTCAGAATCACCCAGAGGGCTTGTTAAGACACTACTCGGTAGACATCAACCCTAGAGCCACCAATTTGGCATTTCTAAGTTCCTAAGTGACATTTCTGCTGACATCGAGAGGATTAGCCCAAGAGTCAGCATTAAAACAGCAAAGCTGCACCCGGAAGTGACAGAGGGTGGGGCTCCCTGGTATCAGGCATGAGAATCAGAATTGCTGGTGGGTAGGTGGTATGTCTTGGGCACATGTCATATCTAAATGCTGCTAGTCAATACTTATTCATTCCACAAACTTACTTAGCTCCAAATAGGCTTTATGTATATACACACACTTGTGTATAGCAAAGTACACTTAGCAGCATATATAAAGTCTCTAGTCCTGACTTAAAGATCTGGGGTTCCTTGGAAGTAGTTTGAAGGCCAAGAGACCTTTGTCCTGCAGTGCAGGTCAGCCAGTCAAGGGCCAGAAGGGCAAAAACCCGACTTTCTGTTTGGGAGACGTGGGGCATGGTCCAGTAGCCAGATTTTTCTCAATGCGCACTATGTAGGTCCCCATCCTCCGCTTGACCACCTTTATTATTTATGGGGGTTTACATAGATCAAGTGGCCAAAACCCCTTTTCTCACTGCAGAATGCCATTGGATGTGCTGTCAGTCACTAGTCTCCTGCAGGCTTGTTCCCAACTACCTCTTTAAAGTGATTCTTCTTCCATGCTCGTCTGTTCAGCCCTGCCTTCTTTGGTGCTAGATCGATCCAGTTGTGCCTCGGAGCAGAAGAAACAAACCTGCTGTCTTGTTGGCCAGTGTTGTGATTCTGAAGTTTATACTTTCTCTCTATGGGTGCCAATTAAACCTTGGAGAACAAGGAATGTGCTCTTTGGGGGCTTTGAACCAAGAGAGGGTTATAAGCCTACTGGATGGAGGCTAAAAAAAATCTAAGAAATTCGCTTTAGAGCTTCGCTTTTCTCTTTGTTCAATCCCGTTGTGCTGGTTTTTAGCACTGCACAGTGAATGCCAGGTACTGACGGAGCCCGACATTATGGTGCAGACAGATGTACCCTGTTGTTATCTCAGAAGCCAAGGAATAAACAACCCAGGGGAATACAGAACCCACATTCAGTGGGGACCCTGGTGCTTTCTAGAAATCTCCAGATGAGCTGCCATAAAACACCTTCCCGGGGCTGAGATGCAGCTCAGATAGGGATCACTTAGCTAGCATATGCAGGCCTTGTTTAACCAACACCCTAAAAATAAAGCATACACTATCAGAAACAAGACCTTACCAGTGAGGTGGGAAGAACCAAGGCCAGTTAGGACAGGGTGCTATGAATCTGAAACCAAGAGAAACCTCACTTTGACATGGTTCTTCGGGTTAGAAGCAGTCTACTGCAAAACCTGCACCTGAGATCCCTGAGTACGTTCTAGAGGGTGTGGTTAGTACGGGACAGAGGTAAGCTTAAATCCTATGCTCTTGAACATTAATGCCCAGCTCTTGTGTTCATCTAAACGTCTCCTTTCTTCTGTGGGAAGACTAGGTCTAAATGTCTTTAGCCCTGCTTACTTTTCCCTTCCTGTCTTATCCCAGGCAGCTTAGTTTTGAAAGTCTCTCAGCTTCCTGATGCAGTAGGCATTGCAACACTGTGCTTATAATTATCTTACCAGTTAGAACTTGGTATTTACAACTGGGTACAGGTCTCAAGTCTGCTTCAAGAAGCAGTTGCCCCATTAGTTTCTATAAAGCTGAGTAAAGGATTACTTACCCCCAGAGTTACAGATCCTAGGTACTAACTCCAGTCCAAGGTGGGAGAACACTCAACACCTCATTTCCCATATGGAACCTCCTCAGCATCCATCCAAGTTTCTTTACTATTAGAGTAGGGTTGTCCCAAATTCCCTTTCAGACTGTGGGCTTGGGTTCCATTCTAGACTCAGGAGAGTGAGGCAGGGTGTACGTCATATCATTTAATCTTGAGCCTGCCCTTTCCAGCCACTTCAGAAAATTCATCTAAATGACAAGTCTGCATTTGATGTAATGCCTTAATCACTGGGTCTCCGTTCGTGTTGACGTTTCAGAGACTGTAAGCTCCCAGAGAGCAGGATTGCTGTAATGGGAATGCTTTAAGTGTTGTGCGCAAGAGAACAAAATAAATGTCTTGATTTTGTGATTCTATGCATTATGTCTACACAGAGTAGTCTCTAAGTAAGCTGGTCGCTTTGCAGTCTTTGGGGATTAGCTATTACCATGGGTTCTACAATGTCAGTCTCTTAGATGACATGGCCTTGTTGCTGTTCTCTGACTCTACTTAAAAAGCTGGCCGGGCAGTGGTGGCGCACACCTTTAATCCCAGCACTCGGGAGGCAGAGCCAGGCGGATCTCTGTGAGTTCGAGGTCAGCCTGGTCTACAGAGCGAGTTCCAGGACAGACTCCAAAGCTACACAGAGAAACCCTGTCTCAAAAAAAAAAAAAGGTCTGGACTAGTGCCTGCCAGATCAGCATGACCTTGTGCGTAGGACATGGGTCCTGTGTCTGCAAGTCTTTCAGTATAGGAGGGATTCTTGAGTTCAAAAGCTAACTTGCCTCGTTTCATCCATGATTCATAATCTCTGCATTCATCAGGCAGGAGCACTGGCTTCCAGGAAGCTCACTGCCGGACTCTGCCTAGCCCCATGGTAGTGGCCCGGTGTTGCTGTGACTGGTCTTCCTGCTGCCCCACAGGGCACTCCTCACCACTCCTGCAATCTTTCAGGACGCTGTGATAAACATGGCCTTTGAGGACAGTGGGCTCAAATCTGGGCTCCATCACTTAGGAAAAACTATTCTAACCATCCCAGAGTTTTCTCATGTATAAAAAGGCAGTTGACGCCGGGCGGTGGTGGCGCACGCCTTTAATCCCAGCACTCGGGAGGCAGAGCCAGGCGGATCTCTGTGAGTTCGAGGCCAGCCTGGTCTCCAAAGCGAGTTCCAGGAAAGGCGCAAAACTACACAGAGAAACCCTGTCTCGAAAAAACCAAAAAAAAAAAAAAAAAAAAAAAAAAAAAAAAAAAAAAAAAAGGCAGTTGATAGTCAAGTGTGGTGACATGTGCCTATCATTCTAGTATTTGGCAGGATGAGGCAGGAAGGTTATGAGGAAAGACCTGGACTACCTAGTTAAAGGTCTTCAGTTTGGAGGTACAGGGGAACACAGGTGGATTTTCCATTTGGGCGAGAATTTTATGAAGAGTCGTTAATGCCATGAAAATATAGACAGCAGCATGACAGGGTCTGAGAGTTCAGGCCTCAGCACCAGTCAGGCTATCTCTGATTCTTGGTGGCAAGGAGAAGGGAGAGAATTCCAAAGAAATGCACCACTCTGGATATAGGGGATGTAAGGAGGAGGGGCACATACAGGTGGCAGATGTGTCCCCACCAGGAGCCCTCTAATGGCCTGGAGTCTAGCAACCTGATCTGTCAGTCTAGGGAAACAGAATGGAATCTTGGCACCTGGGTTTTGTGTTTACAGATGCTCCACAGCATGTCTGTCTCTCTGTAGCAGCAAGGATCTCAGAACCAGCTATGAAGATGGAGATAGAGAGGGCATAACTTGAGCAGTGTGGCCTGGGCTTCTAACACAATGAGACCCTGTTGCAAAAACAAATGGCTATGGGTGTAGTTTGGTGGTTGAGTGCTTGCCTAAGTGTGCTTTTCTAAGGCTCTGGGTTCAATCTGTAGCATGCCTAGTGTGTACACTCCCACACACAAAGGAGTAATAGCACCTACCTACTTAAATTAAAAGCAATATGGATAAGGTACCCCACACAACACAGGCATATCCAACCCATATTGTTTTCACTATCTACTGGTTATTCTGTCCCTTAAGACTTTAGGAAAATGAAAGGTCACTCTCTTGAATAAGGTCAGTATCTTTACAAGCACCTGGCTAACCTCCTGGGCACTGGTAATCCAGAAATGAACAGATCCTAAAGAATACAGAATTGAAACATAACGTAGTTATGCCCAAAAAAGATTAGCAATTGCAGTAAGTCCTAGTCTACTGATGAATAACTGTCATTCTGTTCATAAAACAGCATGAAAATTCTTGGAAACCTAAAAATAGAAACTTCTATCCCCCACACACTGCTTTCAGCCAGGAACACTAAGAAAGCAACATATTAAAGGCCATTTAGAAGCATGGGCTAGGAAAGCAGACTGCCCGGGTTCAAATCTACTACCTGCCACTTCATGGCTGGGCTCGAGTTCACTTCTGCAAACTCAGGAAGGTGTGCCCTTTCAGGAACTGGGGTGTCTGCATGAATCACTCCACACTGTCTTACACAGCCCTCTGCATGACAGCTATTAGTACAAAGGGAAGCCATGCAGGAGGCACGAAAACAACTGGGAAATCCTGCTGGGGAGTTGCAGGGGGGAAGGAGTAATGCAGGCAGAATCTTCTTCTCTTTGCCCTCTGTAAGGCCTTTGCAGGCTGCAATAAAGAGTCCCTAGCTACAGCCTGTGTCTCGGGTTTTATTGTTTTTTAAGACAGTAAGATAACAGGGCTTAGGGGTCATTAATAAAACTGGAATAAAAGTTTTGTTTAAAAAAAAAAAAAGCATGGAGCAGGAAGAGGAAACTACACACTCCCCTTTATCTCTACCTTCCCGTATACATCACTCACGAACTATCCAGAAGCCTGGGTAAAACCCAGCTAAGGAGTCTCTTTGAAACTTGATTCCAGGTGTTCTGGCTTCCACAGCTGGTGGTTCTGTCCCTGAATTTTATAGTAAAATGGGGCATGGTGCAAAAATATCCAGAATTCAGATGGATTCCTGCTGCAAGAATTCTTAGGCGAGTTCCAAGGGAAGAAGGATTACAGTACCTCTCGTACTGTTGGGAATGCTCGTGTTTCCCTCACTGTATAAAACCTTTGTAAGTGGATTTGACTCAGACAATTTGTTTGTTAGAATCCAATCTCCATGAGGGTAGGGGTCTTTGTCTTGGTTTGGTTTTTGTTTTGTTTTTGTTTTTGTTTTTTTACATTTTGAGACAAGACTTTATTCTGTAGCCCAGACTAGCCTTCAACTCATGAGACTACCTCGGCTTCCAAGTACGGGTTACAGCCATGAGCACACTCAGCTGGGATCTCTGTTGCTTGCAGGATGGTTGGCAGTCACCAAATACTGAATAAACAAGTGAAGTGAAAGTCCAGGCATCACCTCCAAGTGTCCGGGTTTGGGGTCCTTTTGTAAAGACAAGGACATCACCTCTGATGGCGATTACCTCTCAGAGCGGGGGACTTCATTGCTACTACTTTTAAGGATGTCTCACATTTTTTTCCAAAAATATATTTAATTTTAAAAACAAAAATCAGGTAAGCTTTCCACAGTCCAATTTTCCAGAAACAGCCAGAATTTGGCTTCTAGCTTATCAAAAAAGTTGAACAGCAGTAATTTCACGCAGACATTATTTCTCCCTGCAGGAGACAGAAAACATTCTGCTTGGTTTTACACACTTAATTCTCTAAATCTGTTCTATATTTTCGCCATCATTTTATTCCATTCCAGGGGTCTGGTATGCCAGAGAATCCATCTCTAAAACTCAAAGTTTCCAAACTGGGATGTGCGGTTGTTGGGCTTAGGTTGGGGTTTATAACCAATTCGATCATTTATCATTTGTTCCCGGCTCTTGGGGTCACTGCTGAGCGCAGCAGCCCCTCCTTCTCCATCACTGGTTCCTACACCTTCTACATCTTCCTTCTGTTTCTTACGGGTCTGAAAGTAAAAAAAAAGAAAAAAATTAGGAAAAACATTCTTTCAATTAGCAAATATTTAATCTAGCACTTACCATACACAAGTATTGGGTAAGGGGCAAGGTTAGGGGCTAATAAACAATAAACTGATATCCCAAGTTTAGGATAGTTACAAGAAGGATACAGGCATGCAATTTTAGAAGATGTAACCCTACCTTCCAGAATATCACAGTCTAGAAGGCAATGGGCATGGAGACTATTAGTTATATACATAGAGAGTTCAGGGTTATAATGAGAAGTCCACAATGCCAGAGACACAAAGAAAAGGTGGTGAGGAGCTTAGGGTACAGTACAGAGGCCTGCAGGAACCTGCAGTTGGAGATAGTGGATATGGGGCAACAAAAGGTGTTTCAAGCAAACTTTTTAATGAGAAAAAGTGAAAAATGACATGACTGGTAGTCACCAAGAAGCCACAGCCTTGCCAGGCATGGTGGCACACGTCTTTAATCCCAGCACTCTGGAGACAGAGGCAGTGGATCTCTGTGAGCTCGAGGCCAGCCTGGTCTACAGAGTGAGTTCCAGGACAGCCAGGGTGGTCACACAGAGAAACCCTGTCTCAAAAAACCAGAAAATAAAAAATAAACCTACAGCCTGACTGGTTCCCCACAACTATGGTAACACAAGAAGAAACGATGCTACCTGGGGTAGGTCTCAGTTTGGGGGCTTCCGATTTATTTATTGATGATGCTAGGGACTGAACCCAAGGCTTCATGCATGGTAGGCAAGCAATCTACCACCAAACTATATCCCAGCCCCTGTTTTGCTTTTGGTTTTGTTTTGAATTTTTCAGAAAATTTCCTCTTTATTCTTGGTACCACTACTGCAACTCAATGAGCCATGAGTCTAATGCAAATGGAAAGAAAACCTACAACAGATAGATGACTGTGGTGTCAATCCAGCTGGCACCACACTGCATCAACAGTTGCTACACTTGTCTCAACTTGTGGCTGAGGACCTCCTGAACAAGAAGAGCTTCCTGCTTCCGCTGCAGAAACCTTCCTGATATGGGTGTCGCTCCCTTTGTGGCTCATTTCCTAAAGTTTCTTTAAGGCATTTGGCTGGACTGTCCCTAAGTAATCTATACTTTCCTGACAACTCTCTTTCCTAAGAATGGAAGCCCTTCTCTGCTGTGTGTAGAACTCTGCAACTGGACTATTACAAGTTCAAAGCCAGCCTGGCCTATATGGTGTAACCTTATCTCAAAAACTAACAAAAGAACTATGCTACATTCCACCACCACATGCCTGATTTCCTTCACTAAAACTGTTACTTCATGGGTCTCTGATCTGACTGATTTCCAAAGCCATGGAGTTCTCGCCACCACTGTAATTAGTTATACCACTGCCAAATTCCCTTCACTGCAGCCACCATTTATTCCGCCACTACCATGCCTCCCTTAGGTTCCACAGCCGGACCCTGTTTACAGATCTCTCCAGCCCCCACAGCCTGCTTCATACAACAACCCCTGGCGCCTCCGCCTCCGCCTCCGCTTCCATCACTGTAGCTTCGTCTTCTGCCAAAGTTGCCACCGTGACCAAAGTTACTTCCAGCACTTCCAAAGTTTTCTTCACAACCTAAAACCACATGACCGCCTCCTCACAGCCTGTCTGTATAGGCCTCCAGGTTTTCCATGATTGGTATTAAGATTAAAGGCATGTGTATCCAATAATGGCTGTATCCCTGAACACACAGAGACTTACCCAGCTCTGCCTACTAAGTGCTGGAATTACAAGCATACGCTACCACTGCCCTGCTTTCCTATGGCTTGCTAATAGCTCTGACCCCCGGGCAACTTTATTTATTAACATACAAATAACATTTTAATACAAATAAAATATCACCATAGGTCACCACCAGATCCACCTCCGTCCCAGCCTCCTTGTTATGCCGTGGATAACATCTTGTTCAAAAAGGCCTTTTCCATGGCAAAATGATGCCAATGAATGGTGTTATTTCTGAATCAACTGTGTGAGAACTGGCACAAGTTACAAGGATAAATCCTCTCTATTCCACTGTTTTCACACCCACTTCTTTCAAACTTGCTCTGCAGTTCAAAGCAGTCTAATCTTAAACATACGCTCCTGAAGAGTTTTTACTGTCACCAACAAAAATCTTCACTACTGATGTGCATAAGGCATCCTCTCCAGAAAGGGCTCCTTGGTTCCTTCCACTCTGCCTGTCCACCTTGCGTGGATGAACAAACGCTGATCTATCCAAACAATACCATGGCCCATGAACATTTTGTTTGGGGCTTTCTCGAGACCAGACAATTTGTGAGTATCTTGCGCTCTCCGCTGTACCTTCAAGGGTCAGATCAATGCAGTCCGACCAATCAGGGCTTTGGTTCTTCTGGTTCACGCCCTTAATCCTCCTGATAGAGCAGCAATGGCTTCAGGCAGGCCGCAGGAGACCAGACTAACTTTACGGCTGTTTGGAGATTGAACTCGACCTTGCCAATTCAAGTTGAATGGGCGATGCAGAGGAAGACTTAGGCTTGTTCTCTCACAAACGAGGTCCTGCTCTAAGTCACAAGTGACTACAGATTCCCATAGCCACCACTCCCTGACTATAAAGATGACATTAAATGATAATGCTCTATCTACAGTTCTTTACTGGGAGCACAGCTCAGCTGCTCTGATCACTGAAATCATGATGGTAATTGCACCACTCACTGGTGAACTGTGACCCCTCAAATCCCAGCATCAATGTACTAGAGTCAATCAAATAAGGCTGGGCTGAGGATCCCTTCTCTGAAATGCTTGGGACCCAAAGTATTTGAGGTTCAAGGTTTTGGGGTTTTTTTTTTCAGATTTTGGAATATTATGCATTGGCTACAGAGGTCAAGCATCCCTAAGCTAAAAATCCAAAATCTAAAATGCCCCCATATATGAAATTTCCTGTGGTTTCCTTTTAAATAACAACATAAGGAACCTGGCCAGTACGATGGCTGCACAAACCTGAGTCTGTGTTCAATCCCCAGAACCCATGGGTTTTTAATACATAACTAAAACAAAACTGGATGTGGTGGTGGAGAGTTGTAATCCCAGCACTCCTAGCAGCAAACTAGCAGGCAGAGACAGCCTAGACGCTCATGGGCAAGCTAGCCTGAAGTATACAACAGAAACAGGAAGAGACCCTGCCTCAACAAGAGCGAGGAGAGAACCAACTCGAGAAAGTTGTCCTCTGACCTCTACACATGCATTGTGGAAAACGAACACCCTCACTCAACCACATCATATCCGTAATAATAATAAATAAAATTGTGTGTGCACGTTTGTGTGTGTATTGAACTTCTGTTCATCTCTAGTTAGTCAACACTACAAAGAAATGACCTTAAAAGGTTCACCCCCAAAAATCTTTATGAAAACTACTTCTAAGAAGCAAAGGGATCTCTGAGGATACTCAGCTGGAATAAAATCCTTTCATGTTATGAATAACTACAGACTGTTCCTGAGGTGTAAACAACTTTAGTGAAAAATGAAACACCAAGGAGTAGAGGCAGAAAGATGACTCAGCAGTTAAGAAAGAGCACCTGCTGCTCTTGCACAGGACCCAGGTTCAGCTCCCAGCACCCACATGGCAGGTCACAACCATCTGTAACTCCAGTTCAGGGGTTCTGATGCCCTCTTCTGGCCTCCATGGACACTGCATACACATGGTGAGGACACATATAATCAAAACAAAAAACAGAGCCAGGCATGGTGGCACAAGCCTTTAATCCCAGCACTCAGGCATGGTGGCACAAGCCTTTAATCCCAGCACTCAGGAGGCAGAGGCAGGGGGGTCTCTGTGAGTTCGAGGTCAGCCAAGGCTATGTAAAGAGAGCCTGTCTTGAAAAACCAAACGAGAAAAGGAAAGGAGAAAGAGCAGAGCCAGGCATAGGAAGGAGTGCCCAGTTATAATGTCAGTCCTTGAGAGGCAGGAGCAGGACAAGTTGGGACAGCCTGGGCTATTGATTTGAAACTGAGGAGGACGGAAAGAGGAAGGGCCACTTTTCCTACTGTTTTCATTTTCATTCACTCCAAGAGTGTCCCTCTCTCCTGAGCTGTTTGAAAGGACACCAAACCCACTACCTTCCGTGGAAAGGCCAACTCAACAACGAGCTCATTCTGAAGAGTCAAAGTCCACTGGGCCAGCATTTTTGACTCATCACAACTAAAACCTAAACCATTTTTGAAGCTCATTCTTTTTAGGACTGAAGATGAATGCCTACAATCCCAGCACTCAGGAATCTGAGGTGAAAGGTCACAATGAGTTCCAGGCCTACCTGGGCTACACAGTGAGACCCTGTCTTAAAAACACGAAAAGAGCCAAACCTCATGCTTAATAATATACTACCAATATGAATTCTTAAAAAGCAAAAAAAGAACTGGACTGGCAAGACAGCTGGGTGAGTAAAGGCACTTGCTTGCCAAGCCTGAGCCTGAATTAAATCCCAGGAATAAACATGGTGAGAGAAGAGAATAATTTCTGCATGTTGTGCTCTAGCTGCCACATGTTCCATGGCATGAGGACACTCTTCACATTCACACACACACACACACACACACACACACACACACACACACACACGCTGTGGAATACTTTTGTACACTGTAAAAACTTGTCACTTGAACTGGTTTAATAAAACACTGATTGGCCAGTAGCCAGGCAAAAGATATAGGAGGGACAGCCAAACTGAGAATGCCAAGAGAAAGAAGGGCAGAGTTGGGGAGAGGCCAGCCGGCCACCAAGGAAGCAGGACATGCAGAAAATGAGGTAACAAGCCATGAGCCACATGGCAAAGCACAGATAAGAAATAGGGGTTGATTTAAATGTAAGAGTTAGGTAGTAATAAGTCTGAGCTATCGGCTGAGCATTTATAATTCGTATTAAGCCTTTGTGTCCATTATTTGGGAACTGGTGGGCTGGACAGAACTTCCACCAACACACACACACACACACATACACACACACACACACACACACACACACACACACACACACACACACATACACAGAGCAAACAATTGATGATACTTTGTGAGCACTACAGTTGCTGGAATGAAGAGCAAGAGAAACCAAAGTTGTCCGTCTTCATATGAACGATGTAAAGCCCATTCCATGCTGGGTACATACAAGATGTAATGTCCCCTACCATCTGAATAAAGTACCTCCTCGAGCAGCAAATGCAAACTGGCTTGTAGGGAGCCCTCCTCTGGATAGAGTCCAGAGCTTAATATACTAATCCTTGCCTTCAAGGAGCTTCTGGCCCAGCTGAAGAAAACAGCCCAACAGACAGTTAAAACAGAGAGTTAACATGGGGTGGGGAGTGAACTTAATCCAGCTAGAGGCTGGAAGGGGCCAAGTCAAGATGAGGTAGGTGGGAAGGGAGCAGAGTACACAGCACTGAGATTAAAGATAACTTGGCAGATAAAGTGGAGAGATGAGCAAGGACTGGGTCATAAAGGACTTCATGTACCATGCTTAGGAATTTGGACTTCATCCTGAAGGCATGAAAGAATTTATTCTTATTAACAGATATCTAATATTGTATGGCAAAGCCAGATTTAGAAAGTTCCTAATGCAAAAGATTTTACAATAAACAACCAAATGACTGCAAGGAGCAGGTGAACGTTCAATAAGAGTTATCTGTCTAACATGCACAAGGTCCTAGGTTAATCTTCAGCTCTGAGGGGAAAATAATGGTAACTCCAAGTTAAGAACAAATGCTGACAGACTGTAATGTTCCTCAGTTGGTAGAGTATTTGCCTAGCATGCACAAGCCTGAGACCAGATAGGTCACAGACCTAAGGGAAAACATAATACTATTCTGATAAAGGAACATTGCAATAAAATGACTCCTAATGACATACTGCTGTACCCACAGATCAGTGTCTTGCTCAGCCACATCAGAGAAGTTTCTTCTTGCACTAGATGGCAATTAACACAGAGACCCACAACTGGACAATGTGTAGAGAGTGGAAGACTTTGGAGCACTCAGTAATAATTGGATTGTCTTCCTCAAACCCTTCCCCTCAAGACTCAGGGATCTATGTGGAAGAGGAGGCACAGAGATTGTTAAGAGGTGAAGAAGGATGACTCCAAGGAAACAGCACCCTCCAGACACAACAGGACTGATGCATGTATACACTCAGAGACAGGCACTACACACAGGTTCAAGCCAGACAGGGTCCCAGCACTGAGGGAGAAGCAGACAGACACAGGGTCCCACCCCTAACCAAGAAGCTAGCTGCAACTGACACTAACTGCCAAAGGGAAAATCAGTTTTCTCTAATATCTCCAACATCACTGGGTATATCAACCACACTCCTGAGCAGACCCCATGCCCAGGAGTAGCTGGCCAACACAAAATGAACTCAATGGTATTTTTGTGGACTTTTTGTTTCTTGTTTGGGGAATTTGTTTCGTTTTTGAGAGAGAAAAAAAACAAAGTTGGGTGAGTAATGAGGTAGACAGGGTATGGGAAGAATTGGGGCTGGGGAAAACATGACTAAAATATATGAAAAAGTTAATAAACAAATAAAATAGTAATGTAAAAAAAAAAAAAGAACTATAAGAGGATCATTTTCTGTTGTTTTGGGCCACCAAATTCTTTGTTATGATAGTCACAGGAAATTCATTTTTATTTTGAGATCCCTGTAAAGCACCCAAATAGATTTCAAATAAGCCGCTGGTAGAGTCTGAGGTTCCGAAGGTAATTGCTATCTGAAATACCCCTAAGAATCGGAAAGTGAACTCTCACCTCCAGGTCCTTCCGAATGCTCTCAAACTCTTCAATGTCATCGAGCTTGAGCTCCAGACGTGTTGGTTTTCGTCGCAGCATACTGAAATCAGCAACAGGAGTCAGACCCAGGGAGCTATGGGCTGTTACAAATGTCGAGAGAGGAAAAACTTCAGCTGTTGAGTCTCAGCTACAAACGGATAAATTTGTAAACACGAACAATAAAATAAACAGGACATTAACTCATTTAGATTTTCACGCATAGGCTTCAAAGTCTCTAAGCATCTGTTTTTTGCTGGGGGCTAAAGAGATGGTTCTCCGGTTAAGAGTAAATATTGCCCTTGCAGAGGACACAAGTTCAATTCCCAGCTTATAACTAACTGCCTGTCACTCCAGCTTCGGGGGATCAGATGCCTATGCCCTCCTTGGACACCTGCATTCATGTGCATATACCTATATACACAAAATTAAAAGTGAAATCTTTAAAAACAAACCCAGCAAAATGCCAGTAGAGAATCTAGGCAGCAATCTTTTGGGGTTTGTTTTGTTTTTGGTTTTTGTTTTTTTTTTTTCCTTTTTAACACTTTTTGAGATGCTTCATTCAAAACCCGGAGGACATCACAGATACAGCAGCACAGAAACTATTCTCTGTCGAGAGTTTTAGGTCAGAAACCAAGCTTGGGTCCCCAGACTCAGGTCCTGAAACCCTTCCGGCTGTGAGCTCCCAAGCAAGACCCCCAACAATCACCTTAATCTTGTGCTCCAATAACCTCCAAAGAAATACACTAGCTAAAAGAAGTTAGCTGAGGGCAGTGGCATGTGACTACAGTCCCAACTGCTTGGGGTCACTTGAGCATAGGCTTTGGAGGCCAGCAAAGAAACCCTGTCTGAAAAAAAGCAAAAACAGACAAGAAACAAAAGGAAGAAAGTCAGGAGTTGGGGAGATGACTGAGCAAGTAAGAGCACTTCCTGCCCAAGCATGTGGACCTCAGTTCCAATTTCTAACTCACACCTAAAAAGACAGGCATAGCCAGGCAATGGTGGCACACCCCTTTTATCCCAGCACTTGTGAGGCAGAGGCAGGCGAATCTTAGTTTGAGGCCAGCGTGGTCTATACAGCAAGTTCTAGGACAGCCAAGGCTACACAGAAACCCTGTCTCAAGAAGAAAAAAAAAAAAGGCTGAGTATGATCTTATAGAGGCCTGTAACCCTGAGCTATGAAGGAACGGGAGATTGCTAGGATTTGCTGGCTATCAGCCTGGCTCCTGTCTCAAGGAGTAAGACAGAGTGGGACAGAGCAGGACACCCAGGAAACATCCTCTAGCCTCAAGGTGTGCACACATGTGAATACACCACACTCACAGTCACATACACACAAAGGAAAAATGGGAAACGGTTAACTATCTCATCTCAATTCAACATAGTTAGGGAAAGTGGACAAGCCATAAATTCAATCTGCTTTCTATGAACATCATCAGAGACTGTGACCATTCTGGGATATTAAAACCATGGCTTAAATCTCATGAAAACCAAACTTACCAATTCACAGGATTATCCACAGGATCTAGCCAGGTCCTAAATGGGTAAATCACTCACTAAGCAGATGTTTCCTGTGCTGAGATATAGACATTTAAAGTCACTGTTGCAACCTGTGGGGAAAACAAGACAACAGACTGTGGCAATCTAGTGGAAAAACAGAACTCTGAGGAGGGTCCTTCAACCGCACTGCATGAGCACTGAGCCCAGGCTGGGCTGCATGCGAGTGGCTAGGAATGTCAACTCCCTGTGGGAAAAGGTGTCTTCGGGAATTTGAAGGGGAGGCAGATAGGGACCAATAAGGCCAGAGGAGTCCACAATCATTTCATAGGGCAAATGAATGCTTGTGTTGACAAAGCCCATGTTTGTTTCAGAACAAAAAACTAAGTGGAGCTTAGTACCCACGGAAGGTATCATCTTTATGTCCTCCACAGTATCCATAATTAGCAGACAACAAGTTTTGGAATAAACTGAGCTATCCAAATAAGAGAAGGTGAAACTAACTTTTCTTGAGTCCTACACTCTTCCATTATTTCTTTTTTATTTCTCTTTAGTAACTTTAAAAACTCTGCTTTTTAAAAAAAATTTATTATATTTAGTTTTTTTATTGGGCGTTGGTGGAAGCACACAGCCCACAGCCCATGATCAGAGGTCAGAGACAACCTTTGGGAGTTAGTTCTCTCTTTCTACCACGGGGGATGTCAGGCTGGGTACTGGTTCCTTTACCCAGTGAACATGCTACATTCCCATTCTTTATATTACTTTAATACAGAAGACTTGTGAAGCTTGAAAAATTATTCCAGTTCTGTAAAATTGAAGCAAACAGTTTAGTTAACAATATCAGCCGCCTATAAAAGTTACACATAGACCACTAGAGAAAAGAGTTAAATGATAATGATCTAAGTGAAAGTTCTGCTATAGTGTGGATATGTAAATTACTATTGTATGCATCTAGAATCAAACAAAAGACTATGATGTATACAAATGAAGAAACATTTACCCTTCCCTCGGGAGGCTTAGCACAGCCAGGGGTGATATAATCAATACAAAACACTGGCCCGTGACATTTCAAATTGCCTTATTCTAAATCAGATACTACCTTCTACCAGATCCCTAAGTAGAGAAATGGAAGAGGAAGCCAGCTCCAAAGGAAAAGGAAGAAATAATTAGAAGAAAAGTTTTCTACTTGTATACAAACTGAAAGCTTCGCCACTAGAGGGCAGTATTGAGTGCGGGTTAAAAGAACTGCTCTCCACTTGCCACGTTAATAAGCCTACTACACTATGGCTCCAGAACGACGGATTAGCTTCATTTCTCACCAGAATTTATTTTCTGTACTCTGTTGTCACGTGACTTGGATAACTAAAATAGAATTATCTCCTTGCGCATAATTCGGCGTTTAGTAAGCACTCGAAGATGAAGTGCTCCGATAATTGCATTTGTTTGGGGAAGAGGCTTACGAGCGGGAGTGAGTCTGTCCAGCTCAGCAAACACGAATATTTTGGCAATCCCCACAATCTTCATGTAAGGATTAAAAGAAGAAGAAGAAAGAATAAAGAAAGAAACCTTATCTCTGATGGCCTAGCGATCAGGGGAGCGAGAGCTGCTGGTATGCACTCTCCCTGGCGCCTCCCTGGACCCTTTATCTCAAAGAACACAAACAAAGAATAGGTTGTAGACAAGTAAACCAACAACAAACTAGGCCGCCGATCCCCCGCCACGTCTTTTAGTCCTAGAAGGCTCTTAGAGTTTAATGTCTTCTTGAAGCCCAAAATCGCTGCGGAGCCACCCAGTTACGAGGGGCCCCCGGGAGGACTTCCGTACCATACAATCCTCTTTACCAGCTCCAAGGCTGCACTAGTCTAGGGAGAGATTTCCATGGCAACACAAGCTCTCGGCTTCGAGATGATGGAAGGCCTCCCGAAGGAGAGCAGAGACCTTCGGTTCGCTCCTGATTACAGCCGAAATCCGCGAACCTACCTCTTTTCAGGCCTCTGCAGCTTCCCAGAACCTCAACTCCCACCATGAAGCCATCGCTGCGCGGCCCGAACTACACTTCCCAGAAGACTCTGCGCCTCTCTTCCCACACGCCTCTTTTCCCGCGAGCTTGTGTTGAACGCTCATGAGGCCACGCCCCTCGACGCCAGCAGACGCTTGGCAACTACGACGCCCAAGATACTTCGCGCGACTCCTAGTAAGGAGTACTCTCTGATACGTTTCCGGCCAGTGACGCACTTCCACTTTGCTGGGCGCGCGGTGGACGATCTGAAAAGCAGAGCGCCGATTTGGCTAGGGCCTCGCGGCTCCTTAGCCCGGCATGGCCTCCTCACGAGCCTCCTCCACGGTAAGGAGCTCCGGATCGCAGTTCAGGCCGGTCCTATCCCAGAGAGGGCGGGGGTCCCTGCGGGAAGGGGCCGTTACCTTGAGGGTCAGGGCGGAGGAGGAAGACTGAGGGACCGTAGGGAGGAGATTAGCAACCTTTTCCTGATTTCTAAACGCCTTCGTGTGCCGCAGCTCCTTCTGCACCGCTCTCACTTCAGCCCGGAGCAGTGAACACTTTTTATGACTGCTCCAAAACACGGTGCTTAGAAATGGAGACATGTCTTGACTTAAACTGTATGACTCGGGACTTAACGATGAGGCCTCCCAACTTCTAATCGGCTCTGGAATTATTTGAAATGTGTATTCCAGTAACATTGTGACTTGGTGCACCTAAAACCGCCATGATTGTTTGGGTTATTCTTGGTATTTGTCCAGTAATGGGCAGTTATTTTTGTAAAACCGAAGATTGCATTTCCAATAAAATAAACGGGCCCCAAAGCAAACCAGATACTTCAAACAAGTTGACTCGTTGTATTTGTCTGCCAAACTTAACGAGAGCCTGAACTCGCACAAAATCAGTCTTGACGGATACCCACCTTGTCCTGTAGTTTTTGAAGGAAATAAAATGAAAGCATTAGCTTCATTCTTTCAGGAAGCATGGTTTACTCGGATTAAGCTTTAATCGGGGTCTTTGATTTAACAGGCAACCAAAACTAAAGCACCTGATGATTTAGTTGCTCCTGTTGTGAAGAAACCACACATATATTATGGAAGCTTGGAAGAGAAAGAGAGGGAACGTCTGGCCAAAGGAGAGTCTGGGATTTTGGGAAAAGAAGGACTCAAGGCAGGCATTGAAGCCGGAAATATTAATATAACCTCTGGTAAGATACAAATGGTGAATCATCTTTACTTTTCATTCTTTTTTTTTAAACAGTGCTGGGGAATCCAACCCAGGGTTTTTTGCATGCTGGGCAGGTGTTCCACCACTGAACCACACAGTCCCATCCTTTGGCTAGTCCTGCCTCCTCCCAGGGACTAGAACCAGGTGTACACCACCGTGCACCTTTAATGATCCAATTTTCTGATGAACACCTTCCCAAACCACATAACATTAAGATTTATAGGGTCAAAACCTTCCTTTCTTGGCCTGGGGAACTAGTTCCTGTCACAAAAGGTTTGCTGTGCAACCATTAGGACCTGAGATTGATTCCTCAGAACCCCTGTTGTTTTGTTTTGGGGTTTTTTTTGGGGGGGGGGTGCTGAGAAGTTGGAGATTTAGCTCAGTGATAGAGCACTTGCCTAGCAAGCATAGGGTCCTGGGTTCAGTCCTTGACTCTGGGATTAAAAAAAAGACAAAATAATTTTTTAAAAAGGGGGGGGGGGCTGGAGAGATGGCTCAGCGGTTAAGAGCACTGGCCACTCTTCCAGAGGTCCCAAGTTCAATTCCCAGCAACCACATGGCAGCCAATAACCATCTATAATGGGGTCTGATGCCTTCTGGCATGCAGGCATACATGCAGATTAAAGCACTCATATATAAAATACATACAACATAAATAAAATTTTTTTAAAAAACTGAATGTGGAGCCAAGCAGTGGTGGCGCACACCTTTAATCTCAGCACTCAGGAGGCAGAGGCAGGTGGATCTCCGTGAGTTCAAGGCCAACCTGGTCTACAGAGTGAATTTCAGGACAGGCTCCAAAGCTACAGAGAAACCGTGTCTTGGAAAAAAAAGAAAAGGAAAGAAAGAAAAAGAAAAACTGAATGTGGTGGTACCTACTTATAATTTATTATCCCAACATTGAGGAAACAGACTGACTTCCACATGTGTACATGCATACACCCTTACCCTTCTATTCTTACCATTGAATCTGTGGCTTTGCCTTTAGCATGATTCAGTTAGTTTTTCTTATATTTCATACAGTTCCTTACAGGAATTACTGGTAATCTTTGAAATCTTAAGTGGATATTTGGGTTCATCACTTGTATTTGTATTCGGGAGATATAACCTAGTTCTGGCATTGATGCATAATTCAAGCTGTTTATAGTATTCAATTCTTTTGGTTTTCCGAGACAGGGTTTCTCTGTGTAGTTTTGGTGCCTGTCCTGGATCTCGCTCTCTAGACCAGGCTGGCCTTGAACTCACAGAAATCTGCCTGACTCTGCCTCCCCAGTGCTGGGATTAATGGCGTGGGCCACCGCCACCCGGCACTCAGTTCTTTACTTTTCTAGTTTGTTTGTTTGTGGTTTTGTCTTTCAAGAAGGGGGTTTCAAGCCGGGCGGTGGTGGCGCACGCCTTTAATCCCAGCACTCGGGAGGCAGGGCTCCAAAGCTACACAGAGAAACCCTGTCTTGAAAAACCACAAAAAAAAAAAAAAAGAAGGGGGTTTCTGTGTATAGCCCTGGACCAGGCTGGCCTTGAACTCAGATTCACCTGCCTTTGCCTCCTGAATGCTGGGATTAAAGGCATGCACCACCACTACCCAGCTTTCTAGTTATTTTTTTTAACCTAGATTAAAATAATCTTTCTAGTATAAGGGGACAGTTATTTTTAAAAGATTTTTTTTAGAAAGTCAGCGTGTGTGTCTATGAAGTAGAAAATCCTGTATTGTGAATTTAGTGTATTTCTTCTGAGGAGTTTCATGTAGTTATAAATACACCTTTTTTTTCCTCCTATAAATGATACCATGATGTGTAAATTGTTTTATAGCCTGCATGTTTCCACTTGTATACTATTGAGGTTTGTCTCTTTATGTTACTATCAAGAAATGTATTAATTAGCCGGGCGGTGGTGGCGCACGCCTTTAATCCCAGCACTCGGGAGGCAGAGCCAGGTGGATCTTTGAGAAAGGATCTCCACTATAGCTCAAGCTGACCTAGAAATTGTAGGAGTCTTCCTGCCAGGCCCTCCTTGTCCTGGATAACAGATTAGAGCCACCATGCCCAGCTTAAGAGTTTTATATTTTTATATAAGATTATGCATATTTGTTGTAAGAAATTAGATTAGCACAGAGAGGTTAAAAACTTTAATGATTCCTCTGGGGGCTAGGTACATGGCTCAGTTGACGAGTGCTTGCGTGGCATGATGGCACACACCTGTCATCCTGGCACTCATGTACTGAAGGCAGGAAATCACAAGGTCAGGAACATCCTAGGCTACATAGTTTAAGGCCACCCTGTCTCAAACAGACAGACAAAAAAAACAGGACTGGGGATATAGCTTAATGGGAGAGTGCTTTCCTAACATGTAAGGTTTTGAGTTTAATCCCTTTTTTCTTTTTTGAAGGAAATAAAAGATTATCGTGCAGAAAGGGCTGTATGTGGCTTTTCACTGACCTTTCACACACTTTTTTCCCTGCACACACAAACTACTCCTAACTGTCCTTGGGCCTACCCTCATTCCCATATACCTCCTTTCATCCAAATGTGTGTGTGTTTGCTGGGGTTGTAGAACTCATCACTATAGTATCCAAAGACCTTATGGTCACAGAAATCTTGTCTTTCCCAGCCAGTATTTCCTCTTACTAGTTAATGTTTGTGAATGCTCTTATAGTGGTACTATTTTAGCAAATAGCTTTGGCAATTGTTAAGTAAGATTTCTGTTGGACCTTCCGAATAAAGACCTGGTTGGCTCATTTGCTAGAGGTGTTCTGTTCTTGCTAAGCTGTATAACGAGACAACCAAATGGATGAAAAACCTGGCCTGGCTGTCCTGCTCTCAATTTAAAGCATCTTTTGAGTTTATGTGTTGGGTGTCATTTAATAAACTGAAACTGGTAAACTATAAAAAGATAGATAGGTTAATTCTTTCATATGCATACAACTTTGCAACTTATTAAATACCAAAGCAAATTTGCATATTAATACGATGGACATACTTATTTATTAATAGAGAATTAAATCTCTTTTTTTTGAGAATTAAATCTTGGCTGAATATTTAATATTGTAAGACAGGGCATTTTAAATGTTTTTCATAGTGCTTTGATTTTTTTTTTTTTTAATTTAAATCAGCAGCTCAGATAGTGAATTTGTTGTTGTTGTTGTTGTTGTTGTTGTTGTTGGCCCTCCTTTCCTTTTTTTCTGTCAAAGTCCACATGGCTCATGCTATCCTGAAACCATGTAGCCAAGTATGACATTGATCTCCTGGTCGTCTTGCCTCCTCCCATGTGCTAAGATTACTGAGCTCTTCCCCATCTTTCTTTTCTATTTTGGCCAAACAACAATTTTAAATAATCAAATAATTTTAACACAGTATAATCGAAAGATAAAACTGTTCAATACTTGATGCTAAGGAAATTAATCTTTTTCCCCCCATAAGTGAACCGTAATGTCTCTGTAAGAGCAAATAACTTTGTGAAGGCACTGCAGTTCACACCAGGTAATGGCCTTTGAGGTAGTGTTCCTTCGTGGTTCATGGCACGGCAGACAGTAAGTGCATTGCAGACTTGCACATGCTTAGAACCCAGGCTGCAGCAGAGATTCATGATGTAGCCTGCAGGCACTGCCAGAATTAACTGTGAGTTGTTTTGAACTTGATTTTGGATTCATTGTTGATCACTGCCCCTTCGGAAACCCTTCAGTGTTGCTGAGTTCTCTGTGAGCCCCACACCTCCGTCTGGTGTAAGAAGCTCTACTCTAGGACACGCAGACTCTGATTGGAGGTTATTTCTAATTGTCTCTCTCCCCCATGTTGCCTGTTCTTTGCATAGGGGAAGTATTTGAAATTGAGGAGCACATCAGTGAGCGGCAGGCGGAAGTCTTGGCAGAGTTTGAAAGAAGAAAGAGAGCCCGACAAATCAATGTTTCCACGGATGACTCAGAGGTCAAGGCTTGCCTCAGAGCCTTGGGAGAACCTATCACACTCTTTGGAGAGGGCCCTGCTGAACGAAGAGAAAGGTGTCCTTTATAAATAGTTACACTTTTGTTTTAATTACAGAGTTTTATGGACTGTGAAGAAGGTGCCAGCTTTCCTATCAAACCCTTTCCTGTTCTCCTATGAAGTTGTTTGTTTGAAATGCTGCGGGGGGGGGGGGGGGGGGGGGGGGGGGGAGTTGTCTTGTTTTCTAAGATGTATTTTTAATTATGTAAATCTGTGTGGGAATGTGCACATGCGTTCTGGTACCCTGGGAGTCCAGAAGAGGGTGTCATCCTCTAGAGCTAGAGTTACAGGCAGTTGTGAGCTGTATGGTTCTGAGAACGGACCTTGTGTCCTCCTGAAGATCAGGAAGCACTCTGTAACTGCTGAACCATATCCTCTGGCCCTGGTACACAGCATTTCACTTTCTGTTTCTCTCTTACCTTTTAGAGTCATTTTGTTTGTTTGAGCATAAGTGCCACTTACTCACAGAAGCCTTTCTCCTGTGAAGTAAGCCCCCCCCCCATTTCCTGTGAAAGCCCTTGTAAAGGGTACTTTCTAAAATTCTATCTATTTGTGTGTGTCTGTGAAGATGTGGTGTGGACGTCATAGAACAATTTCCTGTGAAAGCCCTTGTAAAGGGTACTTTCTAAAATTCTATCTATTTGTGTGTGTCTGTGAAGATGTGGTGTGGAGGTCATAGAACAACTTGTGAGAGTTGGTTCCCTCTCACCATGTGTCCTGTCTGTCTGTATCACTGGGTCCCTTAGGTGAATGCCCGAGTCCAACTGCCACTGCCTTAGCTCAGGTCCACCTCTGTGGCTTGGGCTTGCTGTGACACTAAAGCCTGGTTTTCCACTTTTATTCCTCCTCTCCCGCCTGCTGCCACATCACTGTCATTGCAGACCCTCCTGTGTATAGCATGAATAGCTCTGGTGTCCGGGTGACCGGGCCCCCACGTGAATTTCCGCAGGCTGTCTGTATTCCACATTCCAGCTCTGCTGCCCATTTGCAGGTCTAAGCTCAGCCTGTTTTCCAGACTGTTGGCCTTTACATTTCCTTTCCCACTGCCTCAACTGTCATCTTTCTGTTTGGAATCTGGCCTGAATGAGCACTTGACAACACCTTTTCTGGAAAGCCTTTCCTGGAATCTGCCCCACACACCTCTCAAGCCTGGATTCCATACTTCTTCCATATTCCCTTCACATGCTGCCCACTGCTATCCAATACTGGTGTAATGTACTGTGTTCTGTAGTCCCTTCAGAATTAGTCTTTAGTCTTAGTGGTGGTGGTGTTTTGAGACAGGGGTCTCACTATATAGCCTTGGCTGGCCTGGAGCTCACCACCACACCTCTCTTTTTTTTTTTTTGGTTTTTCGAGACAGGGTTTCTCTGTGTAGCTTTGCGCCTTTTCCTGGAACACACTTGGTAGCCCAGGCTGGCCTCGAACTCACAGAGATCCGCCTGTCTCTGCCTCCCGAGTGCTGGGATTAAAGGCGTGTGCCACCACCGCCCGGCCTAATTTTTATTTTATTGAAATAGGATCTCAGTGTGTGGCCCTGACTGGCCTGAAACTCATTTTGTAGACCAGGCTAGCCTAGAACTCAGGGCAATTTACCTACGTCTACCTCCCAAGTACTGGGGTTAAAGGTGTGTGCCATCAAGCATAGTTCCTTTGGAACTATTCTTCCCTACTCCCACCCTCACCCCCAGACAGGGTTTCTCTGTGTGGCCCTGGCTGTCCTGGGACTCTGTAGACAGACTGGCCTTGAACTTAGAGATTCACCTGCCTCTGCCTCCCAAGTGCTGGAATTAGAGACATTCACCACCATGCCCAGCTTGGAACTATTCTTAGTCATTAAATATACTTAGCCCCTGAATCAGTGCCTTCCACATCATGGCATTAAGTGGATTCCAGCCATCCTTAAAGACTAAGTGGCAGCCATGTATAGGCCAGTTGACTAAATGGAAGAGAGCAATTGCTGATAGCTGCCTTTAGGGAGCCTTCAAATACAGAAGGAGGAGTGGGGAGGTCTGGGGAAGAAAGAAGAGTGCACAGCCTTCCCCTTTGCAGTGGTCTTGCTTGTTTTCCTGCTTTCTCTCATCCATAGTCGTCTGAGGCCCAAAAATCCTGACTGGGAAGATGCCGGAAGTAGACACTTTATAAATTTTGAGTTGCACACCCTTCTGAGTGATGTAGTGCAGTGTCACACCATCCAGCTCTGTCTGTCGGCTGTGTCCTTGCTGTCTGCTGCCTTCCAGTGGTGTGCAGGAGAGTAAGATAATTTTGAGAGGGAGAAAGAAAATACTCTGTTCGCTTAATTATAAAAATATGGGGTTTTGTTACTAACGTTTTACCTTGCCTAATTTATGAATTAAACTTTATCATAAGAATATATGAGCTGGGAAACAAACACAGTATGGGTAAGGTTCATTGCTCCCTGCTGTTGTTGGCATCTGGGGATCTTGACACGTCTCTCTCACAAGTGGTGGTGGGGTCCTGCTGGACCTTTTGACAGTCTTATTTTATCCATATTGGTTTCTGACCTTTTTTTGTTACAGGTTAAGAAATATCCTCTCAGTGGTTGGAACTGATGCCTTAAAAAAGACTAAAAAAGATGATGAGAAATCTAAGAAGTCAAAAGAAGAGGTAAAATGTAAAGAAATTTGAGGATAGGTCTTTCTAGTGCTATGCTTTGCTAGGATGAGGAGAGGTGTCTACAGGTTCTGCCATTCGGGAATGGTTGATGACATGAATTGGTAATTTTGTTTTGTTTTGTTTTTGGTTTTTTTGGTTTTTCGAGACAGGGTTTCTCTATGTAGCTTTGTGCCTTTCCTGGAACTCACTTGGTAGCCCAGGCTGGCCTCGAACTCACAGAGATCCGCCTGGCTTTGCCTCCCGAGTGCTGGGATTAAAGGCGTGTGCCACCACCGCCCGGCTGAATTGGTAATTCTTTTACGACTGAATGGTGTTGTAAGTTCTCCATTCAGGAAGGCACCATGGCACTCTTGATGTGACTCAGTAAGAAACCAGAAACCAGTAAGACATCAAAGAAGAAAAGTAGGGGGCTGGAGAGATTGCCCGGCCCTTAAGAGTGTACGCTACTCTACAAGAGTCAGCAACACACAACTGCGAAGCCCTCTGATGTGGTCTTCTGACCTCCATGGCACCTGCGTTCACATGCATATCCCCCCCATGTAGACACATAACACAGAGTTAAATCTTTTTAAAGAAAACAAAAGGCAATTAATAGAAAGAACATGTGCCTGCTTCTTTCCATTACTGAATCAATTCACTTTCTTTGTGAGCAGTTACAATTGAGAAGAGCTGTGGGGAGAGCCAGTGCGTTTCAGACCTAACATTTCTGTTAATTCCTTTTCAGTATCAGCAAACCTGGTACCATGAAGGGCCAAATAGCCTAAAAGTGGCCAGACTGTGGATTGCTAATTATTCACTCCCCAGGTAAGCAGAGGTCCAGAAGAAAGAAGTCTGTCATTTCAGGGACTGAGGGTAGACTATGATGGTGGCGTTTACTGTATGGGATTTAGAAGTAGAGAGTGTACAGAGCCTTGTTGGTAGCTCCTTTAGTGATGATGTTTATGGGTCACAGGGCAATGAAACGCCTGGAGGAGGCCCGTCTCCATAAGGAGATTCCTGAGACAACCAGAACCTCCCAGATGCAAGAACTGCACAAATCTCTCCGGGTAAGATGTTCTTCACTGTTGTCCAGTCTCTTCCATTATTAGAGATTCTGTTTTGGCCCCAGCCACAGGAAGGTAAAGGCACGTGCCACCTGATGAATCGGTGATGTAGGAGACACTGTCAGCTGTGACAAGAACATTCTATGCTTTGTGCTCACAGAGACCAGTGCTTCTGCTCTTGACTGCTCCCTTCTCATAGGTCAAGCTGTGCTCTGCTTTTCTCTGTGGTTTTGTTTGTGTTTAACTGACGTAAAAGCTAATGAAGTACCCTGGCAGAGTACTCGGGAGGCAGAGACAAGTGTATCTCTGTGGATTGAGTCCAGCCTGGTTTACAAAGCAAGTTCCAGGACAGCCAGGGCTGTGCAGAGAAACCATGGCAAGGGGGGTAAAGGGGGTGGGGCAGTGTTCCAGATGAGCCTTTATGCTATTCTTTCCATTCCTTCAACATTAGTGTCATCTGACGACAGCAAAGTGTGAAAAGTCTTGAGGTGGATTAAATTGGGAGGATGTTACTGCTGCCGCCTCCTCGCTCCCAGCCCCGCCACCCCCATTTTTTCCCAGAAGTGAAAAAGCCAAAGAACTCTTAGATTAGCCTTTGAAGTGATGGCCTTATTTGTTGTTGTTTTTGTTTTTAGTCTTTGAATAATTTCTGCAGTCAGATTGGAGATGACCGGCCAATCTCCTACTGTCACTTTAGTCCCAATTCTAAAGTGCTAGCCACAGCTTGTTGGTGAGTTCCATTTTACAGTGACATTTTCCTGAATTGTGCATGGGTTCGGGAAGGAAAATTGCCTTTGTCTCAGATGTCTGTTCCTCTGCCCTCTTCCTCTGCTTCTCTGAGGCAGGGTCATGGCTCAACCTGCTCATGTGCACTGGCAGAGTTTCTATTGGGCAGTTCTTACTACTCGTGAAGGTCCCCAGAGATCCATGACATGTAATGTCTCATGTTCTTCCACTGGTATTTTGGAGTAGTTCATATGGGAATTTATAAACAAAGTATATATTTTCACACCTTAGTCCAGCTTTGCTTTCTTAGTTCTGTGGTTTCACTGAGGTAGGCTATCCTTGGAAGCCTTGGTGCCTTTATCTGTACCATTGGTACAGTAGCTAGTCTTTGCTACTGTACCAATGGTACAGATAAAGGCACCAAGGTAAGAACTTGGTAAATGTTAATTATTAGTCTTATCTTTGTTTTGCACATATTACCACATATACAGGAAACTCAAGATGTATGATTGCTTTGGTTTTGGGTGCTGGGGTATGTGTATGTGTGTGGTGTGTATATGTTCATGTGGACCTATGTACATGTACAGTTCAATATGTGTATGCATGTGGAGGCCAGAGGCCAGTGTTGGATGTCTTCTTCCTTCCCTAGTTGCTCCCCACATTATTTTGAAACAGTCTCTCACTATACCTGGAATTATCACTTCACCTTGGCTGACTGGTCCATGAGCCCCAGGGATTTGCCTGTCCCTGTGCTGGGGTTATGGACATTACATACTGAACTTTTACATGAGTGCTGGGAACCTGGACTCAGATCCTCATCTTCGCATATAAGCACTTTGTTGAGTATGTGAGCCAATTCCTGGACCCTGTTCGTGGCTGTCTAAGAAAGAGGAAACTTAACATTGACTGCAGAGGAATGCTTCAGTGGGCAGAAAGCGAAGCTGTGGTTCAGGAGAAAGCTAAAGGCTAAAGTACATGGTACATGGCAAAATCCTGCTCGGATTTCAGGTCCTGCCATTACTGACCCAGTTTAATTTTTCTCCCTTCCCTAGCAAGTTGACCTGTACATGAAGAATAGCAGCTTGCATCCCATGGTAATCTAGAGGAGGCCACTGGTTGCCTAATAGCCGCTGTAGGTCTCTTTTCAACAAGCCTTTGCTTTTCTGTTGGCCACTGTCGAGTGTATAGGGGCAAGACAAAATTGTCCTTCAGTGGTGTTATGAAGGTGCCTTTTCCTTCCCAGACCAACCCTGGCTGAGATGCTTTCCTTTGTGTTTGATAGGAGTGGGCTTTGCAAGCTCTGGTCTGTCCCTGACTGCAGCCTCCTTCACACTCTTCGAGGTGAGTGACAATCTCGGGAGCTCTCATTCTTGTCTCAACAAATCTGTTAAACAGTAAAACTCCAGTTAACACTCAGATATAGCACACAGCATTGCTTCTGCTTATGTGTGCACGTGTGTGTACTCTGTGTACATATATAAGTGCCGGCAGAGACCAGATGAAGGTGTCTGATTCCCTGGAGCCAGAGTTACAGGCAGTTGTGAGCCACCTGATGTGAGTTCTGGGAACCAAACTCAGGTCCTCTGCAAGAGCAGTAGATCCTTTAACTGATGACTATCTTTCCTGCCCATGCATTGTATTTTCATTTGAGTGGATGTGTGTGGTTTTCTCTCCCCACAACACCAGAATATTAGGACTTCACAACATGCAGTCTGTTCTCCTGTCCAGCCACACAGGCTTTTACAGCATCTAAATTAACAGACACAAAGGTTTTGTGTTTTACTTTTTGATTTGGTTTAGTCTTTTGAGAATGGAGTCTTACTCTGTTTCCCAGGCCTTCCTTCAATTCAGTATCTTCCTGCCTCAGCCTCCCAAGTGCTAGATTTATAGATAAAGTCCACTATGCCATTTTTGACCTTTTTTCTCCCCCTAAATTAAAAAAAAAAAATGCAATTTGAATATATGTTTAAAACATTTCTTTTGGGGGCTGGAGAGATGGCTCAGCGACTAAAAACATGCATTGCCTTTATAGAGAGCCTGAGTTCAGTTCCCAGAATGTACATCAGGTGGCTCACACCTGCCTGTAATTCTAGCTCCAGTGGATCCTCTGACCTCCATAGGCACCTGCGATCATGTGCACATACTCACACACATATACATGATTTTAAAATACATCTTAAAAAACAAAATAAAGGGCTGGAGAGATGGCTCAGTGGTTAAGAGCACTGACTGCTCTTCCAGAGGTCCTGAGTTCAATTCCCAGCAACCACATGGTGGCTCAGAACCATCTGTAATGAGATCTGGTGCCCTCTTCTGGCCTGCAGGGACACATGCAGACAGAATACTGTATACATAATAAATTAATAAATCTTTAAAAAATAAATAAATAAATAAATAAATAGCTGGGCATGGTGGCACACACCTTTAATCTCAGCGCTCAGGAGACAGAAGTAGGTAGATCTTTGTAAATTCAAGGCCAGCCTGGTCTTCATAGCAAGTTCCAGGCAGCCAGGACTGCACAGAGATACCCTATCTCAAAAATAAATAAATGTTCTTTTTTGAGTAGTCAGCTAGTCACTTTAACATTCCCCAGTTGGTACTTTTTTGTGTTCTTTGCGGTAGTCTCTGTTTGCTCATAGGTTATGAAGAGTAAGAACCCTCTAACTCTGCTCTCCTTTATCTCTTTAGGTCATAACACAAATGTAGGAGCAATTGTATTCCATCCTAAATCCACTGTCTCTTTGGACCAAAAGGATGTCAACTTGGCCTCTTGTGCAGCCGATGGTTCTGTGAAGCTTTGGAGTCTGGACAGGTGATTATATTACCATTCTGCAGTCCATGGTGCCATCCCTAAAGCAGATGTGCAGGTGACTAACCCTTTAGGTTTTAAATGGGATATTTAACCCCAGACAAGCTCCAAGAGTCCAGGGAGCTCACTGAAAATAGAAGATGTCTTTCTTAGACCATTTTCGTTCACAGAAGGTGTGCTGGGCTTTTCTTGCCTTGCTGGCTTTGGGCTTCAGTTTTTGCCTTTGGCATAGGAGTCACTGATTCCCAGCTAAAACAATCCAGTTTAGCCTACATGGTACATTAGCAGTAGCGAAATGCAGTTTTGTAGATGGGCTAAAGGTGATCATCTTGGCAGCCTCTTGTATCTGTGCACACAGCCACAGAGGAGAGGGAAGTGAGGTTCTGTCTGGCAGAACAGGCCACTGGTGTCATCCTCTGCCTAGGATGCATTCTCCAACTCTAGCACAGTTTCCTTTCTCCATATGGGCATGTGGGTGTTTTTACTAGTCCACTCACATTTTAGAAGCATACTGTAATCTGAAAGACATTTGAATGTTCATTTTTTTTTTCTAGAGAAAGCATAACAAGGTTTTTATTCCAGAATTTTCCGAAGCACTAATTAGCATCTACAGTCTTTGCTAGATAGCATGGCAAGTTTTAATTGGCTTTTGTAATATTTAGCGGTGCTTGTCCCCATAGGGCACTGGTTGGGTCTGTGTGTGCTCGTTGACAGCATTCCCTTCTAATTGCCCTCTTTAGACTCCTGTTTATTTCCTGTCTCTGGTGTCTCAGCCTTTCTGTTGTTGCTAGGTAGCAGAAATTAGTGGCCATCCAGAGGACTGAGTCACTCTAGCTTAGGAGTTCTTTTTTTATTTGAGTCTTTTTTTGAACAGGCTAACAGATTATCTGGAACCCATTGGACCAAAACTTCTTTCAGTTTCCACACCTCTACCAAAGTATATTTTCTTTTTTGAATCCATGCACTACTTTGATGCGGTGGAACTATTTTGCTCATCAGTCTGAAGAACTTCTCTCTCATCCTCGATGGAGAATTTATCAGCACACTGAACTGAGATAGTGATCACTTTGCTCTCTGATCACAGAAATAATCCTCCATCTTTCAAAACCTTAGCAAGTAGCTTAAATGATTGTTATCCCTAAGATTGTAACCCATTGCAGGAGCATTTACAAGTTAGCATGACAGAGCCTTGTGCAGGGCGCTGTCAGCCCCCTGTGCTGCTCACTCCGTGTAGATAGCTGTGTACAAACTACAGCGTGGGTGTGTCTGCACAGCAGCAGGTAAACTGAGTGGCTGTCATGGCTGTAAGGTGTTTAACCCCTGTGTGTACTTGGTTCCTTTCAGTGATGAACCAGTGGCAGATATTGAAGGCCATACAGTGCGTGTGGCTCGGGTAATGTGGCATCCATCAGGGCGTTTCCTGGGCACGACCTGGTAAGCCATCTGTTAGTGTCCAGTTTGTACAAACCTGTTGGTTTTGATAATCCTTTTCAGTTGTCTGCCAGGTAAATATATAGAGCAAGGATCTTCACTTAGGACTTTCTCAAACTTCAGTGATAGAATCAGAACAAAAGAGTCAGAGCAGAGTGTGTTTGCTTTCACTCTCACTGAGTGTGCCGCACACTGTGTTGAAATGGCTCCCAGCTGACTGTGATGGCACACACCTACAGTCCTAGCACTCAGCAGGCTAAAGCAAGAGGACCACAAGCGTGAGGCCAGCCTGGGCTACATAGCAAGACTGAAGATAATAAAATAAAAGAGAGCTGGTGGTGGCAGTGCATGCCTTATATCCCAGCACTCAGGAGGCAGAGACAGGCAGATCTACAGATCAAGTTCAGGACAGCCAGGGCTACACAGAAACCCTGTCTTGAAAAAATAAAATAGAAATGCTAATAAATAAAATGTCTCTGTGCCAACACATTGACTTCTTTTGTTAGTTCTGTAGTTCTCTAGTTTAGTGAGGCTTAGTTCTACTAAAAATCTTTTTCTTTGAGGTTTAAGTAACATACAATAGAACGGGATTGTTTTATTGTACAAGTCAACCATGACAAGTGCATACCGCTTATAACCCACACCCTTACCAATGTAATGTTTCTGTCACCCAACAGAGTTCTCTCCCACCCCTTCGTAGCCTCCCTTCCAAAGCAGCCTCTGACTTGACTTGCTCGTTCTGCCTGTTTACACCATCTGTGCTGTTAAGCTGAGCAGCAGTCTGTTGTGTCTGTGCCAGCTTATGCATTCTCTCTTGATGGGCACCTGGGCATGTTTCTGGGTTGTGGCTAGTCAAGATAAAGCTACTATAAATACTTTTGTTTTTCTTTTAATGTATGTCTGTGTGCCTCATGTGCCTCATGCCCACAGAGGCCAGAAAGGGGCAGTGGATCCCCTAGAATTAGAGTTACACATGGCTGTGAGCTGTCATGTGGGTGCTGGGAGTCAGACCTGGGTCCTCTGGAAGAGCAGCCCGTGCTCTTCACCACTGAGCCGTCCCTCCATCCCTAGCTATAAATATTCTTATTGAAGCTTTTTGTTTTGTTTTTCCTTTCTCTTGAGTAAATACCTAGGAGTACAATTGCTAGTTCATAGAGTAGATGTATATTTAGCTTTCTTCAAACATTCAGGCAAACTGGGTTCAGTGCCACAGCTTGGGCCAGCCTGGGCTTCATGGTGGGACCCCATTCCCCAGAGTAAAGACGTGTGACCAGCAGAGTTCTGGCTGCTTTGTCAGTGTTGGCTGTTGTCAGTCTTCCTGTCTCACCCATTGCAGCTGGCACCTAGCAAACCTTATATTATTAGTGTTACTGCCCTCACAGCTCTTGCTGGTGAGTATTTTGCTGTGTGCATGTCTTCTTTGGTACAGGGTCCAGTTGCTGTGCCCTTCTTGAGTCGACTCGAGTTTATTTTTTTTCTTTTTTCTTTTTCTTTTTTGTTTTTTTGAGACAAAGTTTCTCCGTGTAGCTTTGGAGTCTTTCCTGGAACTCACTCTGTAGACCAGGCTGGCCTCATAAACTCACAGAGATCTGCCTGCCTCTGCCTCCCAAGTGCTGGGATTAAAGGCATGCGCTACCATCGCCCAGCTGAGTTTATTTTTTCTATATTTGAACCGCCATAGCCTGTGTGCTGCCTAAATCATCATTGAGGATTTCTATTAAAATTGCTTTAGCACCCTTAGTGAAGCCTGCTCATATATATCTGGGTCTAGTCTGTATCTGCTCTATGTGTCCAGCTGAATTTTTTTTTAAATGCCGACATCCAATGGAGGCTCTAGTAAATACACAGATGCTTGCTTGGTGGATGAAGGAATATAGCAATGGAATGAGGGGAGGGGGATAAACAATAGTCTTCGCTGGACTGTTCTTCAAGAATTGTGTTTTTGTTTCTGCTGGTGGCTGAACCCAGGGCCCTGCACATACCAGGCAAGCCCCACGCCCTCCTATCGAGCCCCAACCCAAACCGGGGAATTCTTTAATAATAGCCGCTCAAGTAAAGTCTAGAACGTTCTTGATCTCCTAGTTGTCATCTAAGACATAGAGGCTTGACTGGTGAGGCACTGTTTGTGCCAGAAAAGAACATGGTTGAGTGACTGGTTCAGGAGCATGCGCTACGCTGCCGTTATTTATAGTACCTTGTGGATAGTAGACACTGAATCATTCCGCTGGTTGATTGTTGGTGTCATTTATTTTATGTATTTTTAAGTTATGACCGTTCATGGCGCTTATGGGATTTAGAGGCTCAAGAGGAGATCCTGCATCAGGAAGGCCACAGCATGGGTGTGTATGACATTGCCTTCCATCAAGATGGCTCTTTGGCTGGCACTGGGTAAGATTTCCTCCACAAAGCAAGGGGTAGGCAGGCCAGTAGTCTCACCTCTTAGGCATCCCTGCTTCCCTGTGGAACAGGATTCAGAGTACTCACATATATGTTGTTTCTTCAGGGGACTGGATGCATTTGGTCGAGTTTGGGACCTGCGCACAGGACGTTGCATTATGTTCCTAGAAGGCCACCTGAAGGAGATCTATGGGATAAATTTCTCCCCCAATGGGTAAAGCACGTTCAGTGAAGGGAGGGTTCTGGTCGATCGAGAGTACTCTTTGTTACTAACTGTGGTACTCTGATCCACAGCTACCACATTGCCACGGGCAGTGGCGACAACACCTGCAAGGTGTGGGACCTTCGACAGCGGCGTTGTGTCTACACCATCCCTGCCCATCAAAACTTAGTGACCGGTGTCAAGTTTGAGCGTAAGCTTTGCTCTGGTTTTCAGCCTTGCTTCATAGAGTGCATGCCAGGGTTAGACCTAGACATAGAACAAGAAGGTAATCTCCTTCCTTCTGCCATACCCATAGACAAGGCTATGGCAAAGCATGCTTCTTGAGGCAGACTTCTGTGAAGGCTGTTTCAGGATGTCTTCCATGGACAGGCAGGCAGGCACTCGATGCTGTTACTGAACAGATTGACCACCAGGGAAAGAGCACATAGCCTTCCTACCATTCCTTGGGTGTCCTCAATCTGCTCGTGACTGTCCCTTATCTTGGTGGCCCCCTAGAAATGTAGAATCTGTGTGTTAGGTTTATCTGAACGCAGAAATAACTTTCCTTTCAAACCAACACGTTTGGGCAGATCTTTGTGCTGTTAGACTCTTTTTGAATACTTAAATTGTTCCTGCCTGCTTCATTTCACCTGCAGCTATCCATGGAGACTTCTTGCTCACAGGTGCCTATGATAACACAGCCAAGATCTGGACCCACCCAGGCTGGTCGCCGTTGAAGACTTTGGCTGGACATGAGGGCAAAGTGATGGGCCTAGACATTTCTTCTGATGGGCAACTCATAGCCACTTGCTCATACGACAGGACCTTCAAGCTCTGGATGGCAGAGTAAGCCAGACCATGGAAGGCCTCGGACCTTGTGCTCTCACTGAGGAGCCATTTTCCTCAGAGGAAAAGAACTGTGTTGTGGTCTATCATGTGTTCTGCCAGATCCCACGTGTGGGATTGGATTTTCACGTCGGCCCCACTTCTGAGTAGCCCGGTCTCTAGGAGACCGTGGTTAGAGTGCACTCCTCGTCTCAGGTTCGGCCATAAACTGTAGACATTGCTTAGACTCATCACTTTTGAATGCCCTCCCACCCACCTCTGTCAGTACTCAGGATTGTGGCTGTTCGTTCTTTCTTTCTTTTTCTTTTTTTGGTTTTTTTGAGACAGAGTTTCTCTGTGTAGTTTTGGTACCTGTCCTGGATCTCGCTCTGTAGACCAGGCTGGCCTCGAACTCACAGAGATCCACCTGGCTCTGCCTCCCGAGTGCTGGGATTAAAGGCGTGCGCCACCACCGCCCATCTATTCTTTCATTTTTAAGTTTTTTAATTTGGCATTTTGAGACAGGGTCTGTCTCTTTAGCCCTGACTGTCCTGGAACTTGGTGTACATGTCAGGAGGCTTCACATTGTAAGTGATCCTCCAGCCTCTGCCTTTCAAGTGATGGCATTACAGAAATGTGCTGCTGCCCCTGACAGCTGCATTGTCTCTGTAGCATGGTATGTGCTCCGTTCTACACGTGATCCAGCAAGAAGATAGTGGACTGTATTTGAAATTCCCCGTTAAGAGGGCATGCTGCTGTGCGTTAGTTGAGCAGGGCCTGAGGGCAAGCTCCTCTCCTGCTCCTGAGAATGTGATGTCAAGCAGCAGACTGCAACTGCATGATGGTTCCGCAGCAAAGATTTGCCCTCTTCCTGTGGAGTTCACAGAGGATGGTAACTACATCACGGAACTCAGAACTGAACACATCTGCCTTGTTGGGGGAAAACCTTCCATTTTGCTTTGAAGGTTGGCATTCTTCATGATAAAACAAGGCCACTGTATCCAGATTCAAATGAGTTTTTAGAAAACAAACATGTCTGGTACAACCTCCTTCTGTTGATTATTTAAAGGGTGTACTTTCTGTATTAAAGGGTACTTCATTGACAAAGTAAATGGGGGACAAATCCCTAATCTAGTTTGGGCATTCCCAAACATAAACGTTTTTTCTTATTATACACTTGCTGAGAGTAAAATCCTACCATAAAAACATCTTTCAAGGGATTCTTTTCTAGTTCGTTTTATAAGTCTTAACCATTAGTCCAAAGAGGTTCCCTTTTTTAGTTTTGAGATCTAATGTAATTCCAGGCGTGAATTGTTCAGTTTCTATCACTGTTCACAGGTGTTTATAGTGGGTTTTTCAGGGGGCAGGAGATAGGTTTTTTTGAGACAGGGTCTTGCTTTGTCGCTCATATTGGCCTCAGACTCTTAATGCTCCTGCCTCTGCATCTCAAGGTCTGTAAATTACAGGTGAAGGAGTGGTATTAACAGCCTTTGTAATAGAGTTGTTGGCCTAGGAGAGCATATTACAGTGAATTGTGTCTGGGTTCCATAATTCTTCATCAGTCTTGTGATTATCTCCACCTTCCCATTATGGGCATATATCCTCAACTCCAGAATTGCACAGTAAATCCACGTAAGAGTAATTTCAAAGAAGGTTGTGTATAAAGTAAAATTACCATGGACTTATGGTGGCATCCCCTCCAGTATTCAAAACTATACTCTACCAGCTTCCCGTTCTGTTCTTCTCTTCTGCAGATTATAGATATGTGGTATAGAGCAAAACATGTTGTTCTTGGTTTTTTGTTTTGTATTTTAAGATAGGGTCTTACTATGTAGCTCTGGCTGGCCTGGAACTTGATGTCTTAGACCAGACTGACCTCAAATTTAGTAATCCACCTGCATCTGCCTCCCAAGTGTTGGGATTAAAGAGGCTGCCCACCACGCCCAGCTAAACATAAATTTTAATCTGATTCCAGTTATAACTAAACATTTCCTCTATAGCTGTAAGCTTCTCAGGTCTACCCTTCTTTTGGCCCTTCCTACCCTTAACCTGTTCTGTTCCCATAATAGTGTGCCATGAAAAGTACCTTTTTCTTGACTTTCTTGTAGTATGTGTAAAATGATGAGACTGGTGTGCTGCCCTACAATCAGGATCTAGCACTCCAAGTTTCGCTTTCTCTGGTTTAAACTTTACTAGGACTTAACAATTTTTGGTTGTTCCAAGAGAGCATTTCAGTTGGAAATGTTCTGTGTAAACCTTTGTAAGGAAATGGTTAGTGGAGCCTGAGCGGCAGAACCACTGTTTATCACTCAACCCTGCCTGAGTGGTGCATCAGGCACGCTAGGACAGCTCATTCTCTTACGATTGCTGAGGTGGAGCGGGGTGGAGGTGGCGCATGCCTTTAATCCAGCACTCGAGAGGCTGAGGCAGGCAAATCTCTTGAGTTTTAGGCCAGCCTGGTCTACAGAGCGAGTTCCAGGACAGAGGACAGCCCGTGCTACACAGAGAAACTCTGTCTTGAAAACACCCTCCCACCCACCCGCAAAAAAAAAAAAAAAAAAAAAAAAAAAAAAAGATTACTGAGATGGATTCCCTTTTTATGGGCAAAACAGACTCAAGTGACCTGCTAGATTACCTGGCTTGTAAGTGGTGGAACCATTTGAGACTGTGTGAAGTGATTTCACAGAGCCTTATGGAGAATGTTGGACACAAGACAAGACCAGGATGGCCACTGACAGATCACTCTGACTTGGTGAAAAAATGGAGTTCTTTTTCCCATTCCTATCTTGACTTGGCGCCTGTTGCTGCTGCTCAACGGATTTGTATTTCCAGGGAGGTGTTACTGTCCCGTAGAACCAGCACAGCCGCAGGTCTATGTCCCTAACCTTAGCACACCCAAAGAAGATGTTCCGTGTGTTGCTGTGAGTGGGTGAGGCTGCCTGTTAGGATTTGGTTCAGAAATGTCCCCCAGCACTGCTGTGTGCCATTAAACCCTCAGGACAGGACCTGGCTGGTGCAGATGGGTCACCAGCGAGGGGTCATTGAAAGTTATCAGCCCAGCTTCTGTTCCCAGCTGCTCTCTGCCTCCTGGTATGCTGTGATGTAGCAAGCATCTGCATCAAGCTCCCTCCACATGCTCTGTACCCTCTGAAACCCAGTCGGAATCAAGCTCCCCTCAGGTTGTTTCTGTCAGGTATTGTCAGGGTGACATGAAAGTGACTCACACTGCCCTGGGGTTAGAACTAACATGTGAAATAGAAACCAGCAGCATCCTAGACAGACTTCTGTCCAGTGTAACAAACTTACTAACTAGTTTTGGTATAGCCACCATCCTAAGAATCTAGGTTGTATTCTTAAAGAAAGGACTCCAACACTTGGTAGCTGGGTAGCCCTGGCCTGAGCCTCAGTTCCAGCATGAAGCTTTCTTGGTCCAGGGGCTCTGGAGCAGGGAAGATGCTCCTTCTTGGGTTCTTACCAGCTCCTCTCTGCCCGTCCCAGTTAGCTCAAAATATGGTGAGTTAGTTGCCAAGTTAAGAAGCAAAAGTGTGCAGAGAAATGAAGTCAGTGGGGACGGAGTCGGCGTCAGCGCAGTTACCTGGTGCGATCAATGGAGACTGATGCTCTGGTCTCAGGAGGAACATCTAGGTACCTTTCCAGTTTCGTAATGGAGAATTTTCCTCCACGTCAGCACTTAAAACTGTCTGGATTACTAAACCAAAATAGAGTTTATATCTTGACTATTTTATAGTATCTTTGACCCCTAAGGAATTTATAAATAAATGATACTTCTGTGAAAATACTATTTAGAGCAAATAAAACTGACTCAAGTTCTGACCTCTGACAGCTTACTCTGTCAATCAAAAAGGAAAATGTCTTTTCCTGATTGTGTGTTAGACACTTTGGGATTGCTTCAAAGTCTGGCGCCAGAAGGACATGTTCAAACCAGAGAAGCAGAACTTACACGTGGCACAGTGGCAGTCTGTCCCGTGGCAGCTAGCCTGACTCCTTTAGATACTTGATTCTGGGGTCTGTCATATGAAGAGAAAACCTGGGTCACCCCTGTGCCCTGGGCTACCCAAGCCTGAGATGGGGCTGGAGCATTACCTCTGCCCAGGGGTCCTCCAGCCAGAGTTACCGTGCTGGCCTCAGCTCCGTCTGCCCTGCAGTTACTGACCAGGGGAACAGACCTTTGCCCCAAAGCTTTCTTCACCTTTAGATTCATTTCTTCACCCTGTGTGCTGAAGACATCATCCTGCACACCCTCCCTTCCACTGAGGGCCGCCTCCCCCCCCCCCCCCATCATTCTCTCTCTTCTTCCCTCTCAGTCTCTGCCCAGTAAATGGTTATGGAAGGAAGAAACCAATGGATTAAAGAATGCAGGCTGATTTTACTGGGAATGGTGGCAAGAATCAGAAAGGCTGAAAGGGAAGACAAGCACATTGGTCCACAAACTGAAACACTGCAGAACTGTCAGCAACACATGAACAGCTCAACACAGCGCCAGTGGTAGGTGCTGCAAGCTATCTGAGCTAGTCGGTCTGGACAGTGCTGCCCAGCCCCTTGGCACAGCTTGCTGTGTGACCACGGAGCCACAGAACTGCTTCTCCACGCTCCAGGACCCCACAGTTCACTTCCAGGGCCCTGTTCTCCAAAGCAGACGCCTGACCTAACCAATCCCTGGGCTGTCAAATGAGCAATACTACATGGACTGACAACATCAAAGGAGGCTCGGTAGTCCCCATTCCAGCCACCACAAAGAAAGGCTCGGTTCCTTGTGCTGGCACAGAGAGTGCTCACCCCATGCCCCCAAAGAACTGCTTAGTCCAAAAGATGGAGAAGATGAGCAGCAGGGTAACGCTGAGGATGACAGCCATCAGGTAGGCAAAGATCCGGAAGTGAGGGTTGCGGATACACTCTCTGAGAGAGTAGTGGCTGGGGATGGGCACAGGCCTGGCGTCAGGGGCTGTGTTCTGAGGGGGTCCGGTCTGGCTCCCAGGCTCCGGGCCAAGGTCCAGGGTATAGACCCGAGGCTGACGCAGTAAGTAACGGCTCTTGGGTTGGTCCTTGAGACAGAGCTGGTGACCCTCGAGGATGACGTGGTGGGGTTCTAGGCGGAGCAGGGTCAGCATGGCAGTGTCTGTGGGTAAGTCAGTGACCGGCTGCCCTGAAGCCAGTACGGTGGGCTGACGGCAGAGTGGGCAGAGCAGGCGGCGCCTGGCTGGGGCTACCAGGCTGAGGTGGGCCAGGCATTCCACGCAGAAGGAGTGACAGCAGTCTAGCACTTTGGGGGTGTGGAATGTGTTGTTGAAGGGGTTCCAACAGACGGGACACTCAGCTGTGAGTTCCTGGCCCTGTGGCTCGGCCATCCTCAGATCACATGCAGGGAACACCACAGGGGATGTCCTGGTAGAGAGAGAGAGTAAAGCACACCCATGGGGCTCTGTCCCTGGGCTTGGTCTGCAGCCCTCAGCTCTGAGAGGCTAAAAGCTGTCTACCCACATTTCACAGGTGGAAGAATGCATGTCTAAAAGTACATTGTCCACGAACACCCAGTCCTGATCACTGACTTAAGTCTGAAGCTGTCCATCACCGAGGGGGAAGGCCTGAGCCACCCTATGAGTCATCCTACCCGTAGAAGGAGCTGGTAGTGGAGGGGACCACACTGGGGCTTTGGAGATGGCTAAAAAGTCAGCCTTCGCTCCCTGCATTTACTCCAGGCTGCCTTGGCTCTATGCAGCAAGAGAGCATTACACTTTCTGTGAGTTTCCGTTCCTGCAACCTCAAATCCCTAACTAGAGCAGAGATGGGCTCTGTGAATTCCCTGGTCTGTCCCTCCGCTGGGGACAAATGCCAGCCCCCTTTCTGCTCCTTCCTTTGGGCCAGAGGCCAGCTCTTCACAGCTGACTGACTGGTCCTGGTCCTGGTGAACAACTCTTGAGAAGACTCCCTTACTCAGGCCACTAGATCAGCTCTGTGTTTCTTCCCAGTTCTCACCTCCCATGGCTCCTTCTTCCCGCTTTCTCCCAGCACCCACCTGGGCTTCTGTGGACTGTAGAGGGGGATCAGAGAGACCACTCTGAAGGGCATGAGTTTCCCGTCTTTCCCTCTCCTGAATCCTCCTAGCTTTGGGAAACTGCCGCATTGTCACCAACCCCAGGGCTGTTTCCATGACAGCATGCTCACAGCACCTGGAGCTGCCAGGTGGCCC